CATGGCACATCTGAAAAACATCAGTTTACTGCTTAGCTAATTAAGTCAACTGAGATGGTTATGACTTATTAAATTTTACTTCTGAATATTTTTATATATGTTGCTGTCAAAGTGTGTAATTCCAGTATTTAACCAGAATACACATATTATCCTCTCAAATTCTTTGCAACATGCATTTAGAGATATTATATCCGCCTTCTCTGGTGAAACTAACATAAAAACTTTAAATATTTATAAATCTCCTAAATTTTTAAAACTTGTAAACACCCAAAATTTTAAAAAAATTCAAAATCCAGAGTTGTAAATTTTATAATTCCATCTGAAATTCTAACATTTAAAATTCATACCCAAACATCTAACCTAAACTTCCTTAACCTAACTAACAAAAGATAACGTGCCTTAACTCACCCTAACAGACATGACTTAACCTAACCTTACCTGACCTATTATAACTTAATCTGCCCCAACAAAAATAATCTCAACATACATGAACACTTCCCAGTTGCATTAATAAGCTGAACTACACTAACCTAACCTAAACTAATGTGAGCATTGCAGGAAATGTATTTGTACACTTCACCTACCTACGATGTAGAAAACACAACATATACACAGTACCTGTTCAATTAATTACTCTATGGATTACCAACCAAACAATGAACCGAAAAGCCAACTAGGGGTGGAGTCTTGCATAAACACGACATCATCCGTTGCTAGGTTTAACTATTCTTGCATACAAAACACATAGCTGGAATTGGCAAATGATGTCTTATAAACTACAAGTTTGTATATGCATATGCCATTGGGATTTCTGTTGTGGCAGAAGGGCTCGACACCTTCAGGTTAGTTGGATGGATTTCTGGGAGAAAAACCCATAAGGATTAGAATCACTTTGATGGCTTCTCCACCTTGGGAGTTAAATCATTTTGCTGAAAGACTCCATTATTGGAGTAGGCAGGACATGCACCTGTTGAATTGTACCCTGGCATTTCTTACAACTGAGTAAAAGTATGAAAAACATCAGTCAGTGTAGCTGAGTAGTTAAGACACTACACGTTCTGACTCAGCTGCCTTTTTTTGACCTATTGAATGCTAGCTCTCCTCGATTATCAGTGGGTGACTGCGCAGCCCTCAGTATAAATGTGTTCCTTCTAGCTTCCAAACTAACAGACTCTCTGCATGCACTAACTTTGTGTAAGAACACTCAGTCAGTGCTCTGATGTGGTCAGCAAAGAATGGAATCCCCAAATCCTCGTGAAGTTGTCTGTTACCAATGTACCATGGCACATATGAAGGCAACACTTGCAGCTTCAATACATGGCTGTGTTTAGTAGACCTTCAGCTTGAACATGCATAATTTATCACAGGACACACAGGCTGCTTGTAAAGAAGAACATCAATACTGACACAGGCTACTTCTCTTGTTGAGGGGACAGCATGCTATGTACCAACCACGTCAGCTAGCCACCCTGAGACACTGTGCTAAGCATGCTATGTACCAACCAGGTCAGCTAGCCACCCTGAGACACTGTGCTGTTTTAAACCACACCTAGCCAAAGCATAATAAAAAGTTTTATTGTATACTTCAACTGCAACGTTTGGTCAATGAATAGTATAACTTCGTATTCTTTAAAATGACGGTTTCGTTACTTTCATGGTAACACAATATACGGGATTCACAGTATATAATTTCGTACCAAAC